CCTTTGTTAACCATAGTTTGTTTCTTACCTCAGTGTGCTTGTATGTATCTCCAATGATTTCTTATCTTTGCAGGTTAAGCCGGGGGTCTATTGGAAACAGCCTCTCTACATTGAGTGGGGGCAAGGTCTGCGTACACACACGCTCTCTAGACCCTACTTTCGTGGGATCGAACTGTGTTGTTGTTGTATAAACATGAGGTGACTTATTAGTAAAAGTGTATTTGGGGAGAGATGTAGCAAATCACTATGTGACAATTTTTCAGGTTTGAAAACAAATATGTATTGAAAAATAAAAAGACTCGGACGGACTCTTCTTACACGAAGAGATCCTTGTATCGAATTAGCAGCTTTGTCATAGACCATTCCTTCTATCATTATGTATAAGCACATTAGTCCTAGGGAGTTCAGTGTATCAGCAATATTTCCTAATTCCTATAGACGGATGGAAGAGCATACCCAATGTAAAGAATGAGAGTCTAAATCTCTAATGTTTCATCTTTATTCATTGTTTATATAAGCACTAAGCAGAGAAATTATAAATTTAAATGACACGAAAAGAATGCCATGTTGCACCATCATTAGAACCCTGTATTATTTAAGACAGAACATTCAAGCTCAAAATGTTCAAAGCATTAAGCTATCTAAATGGGAGGGAGGCCATGGGTCGCAGTCATCTTATACAACTTCAGTCTTGTTTAACATTCTCCTCTCAAGGTCAAACTTTTGAAGCACTAAAATTTCAATCTAAAATTTACCTATCCCTCTCCCAAACAAATTTACTTGCCTAAAGTTTATATAGTTCAGATCGCTTGAACCTAAATAGTTACTCAAATCTTCAAGGAGATCTGGAAGAGTCTTCCCTCCTCGTAAGTTATTCTCATTAACCTCCTGTGTAAGCCATATCATGCCCATATAAAAACGTAAAAAATTCACCCTGGTTCCAAACAAACAAGCAAAAAAATTGAAGTTTTAAATCATACAAGGGAAGATGAGAAAACCCAAGCAAACAAAATGAACGAATAAATTCTACAAAATGCGCGGACGTGGTGAAGAAAAAGATGGCGAAACCTGGGGCCCGTAAACATCAAAGAAGGGTTTATCTTCGTTGCTGGAATTCTCTTCTGCGGAGCCGTTACTTCGGGTGTTAGATGATGATGGATTCATGCCACCGAATTGTGACTTCTCCGCTGCTCGATCCGTTTGATATGTGCAGCAGCCAACCAAACTATAGACTGCGGGCTTAGGATTCGTCGGCCTGCTCGCCGTTTCCCGCTGAGTTTTGGGTTGAAAGCTAGCCCAGGTAGGATTAAACTTACTTCCTCCTTCCTCCGTCCCTAAATATTCACCACATTTACTTTTTCAGGATTCGTCGGCCTGCTCACCTCTTATTTCGAAAAACTTTTCATGTAGTTTTTTTATATGTAAATTTTATTTTTTATTTCTATAACAATATGTAAATAAAATGAATTGAAAAAACTTGATATTTTGCCTTGGAAATACAAATGTGGCAAATAATTTGGGACGGAGGGAGTATTTTTTTTACCTACTCCGTATTACTTATTTTTATCGAAATCAAATTTGATTATCAAATTAGAAATAATTTTAAATATAACTATATTCAGATCAGATTAGAACTTATTTCAATCAGATCAGGTAAAAAGAACATTGCCTTAAAATATTCGAATGAAAGATTGACTCCTTCAAACTCTATCACGTCATCATTTCAATATTCTAGATTTTTTTAGATTTTCAAAAAAAACAATTTCAATCTTTTAACTCTTTTGGATTAAAAATGTTCCCATAGAATAATATAGTTTATAAAAAGTTTTTTAAAATTAGTAAAGAAGAACGGGTGGGATTGTGATTGCTCTGTGCTGGCGGTGGTCACGGACGTGGACCCATCAGATGAGGAGTGTCTCTTTCCAATGATGATCATTGAAGCCCACTTGTGATGCTCATGCACAAGAGGCTTTTGTACATTTTGGTGGCCATTGCTGAGGGTTGCATAGTCTTTTTGCTTCTTGTGTCTTGACTGGTCTGATCGAGCTAGCTATCAAGAGTACCAACTTTGAATTGGTGAATTTCTTTTATTTTTTTAAAAAAACTTAAATTTATGTAAAGAATTTGTGTTCATCAACCTAATGCAAGACTGTGGAGATTAGAAGTAATTTTATGTGGGATACGTGTGTCGATATGTGCGGCATTCTAAAAAAATTACAGTATCATTTTCTTTTGCGAATTACTCTATTATAAACTTCTCAAATCATACTTTTTTAAGTAATCCTATGATGCATTAGTGCATCATAGAATTTGTTAGTAATCCTAAATTTGTATTAACGATTACTTAAAAAAATATGATGCATCAATGAACTAAAAATATTCGATGCACTAAAGCATCATATAAACTCCTCAGATAATAGTGGGACAAATGTTTTTAGTTCATTAATGCATCAAAATGTATTACTCCGTATATCACTCTCCCCCTTCTGGTAAATCTATTTTAGTTATGCATGTAAAGAGTATACAAATGTATTTATTATTAAACTGGCAATAAAATACGTTAATTCATTTTCAAAGATTTGTATATTTTTCATGCACTTTTTTTTAATAGAGCCTTGGACAAACAAAGCATGGGCTCATATGTAATAACGTACTCCCTACGTCCCAATTTAAATTGCCTGTTTTGATTTTTGGGCATATTTAAGTAAAATAAAAAATAGAATTGATTTTCCAAAATTGTCATTACTTTTTAGAAAGGGCGATGATGAATGAGAAGATATGATGAAGAAAAGTGACTTATTTTAGGGGTAGTTTAGGTATTTTATTTTTTAAAGTGTACGAAAACAACTAACAAGCAACTTATTTTGGGACGGAGAAAAAAGGCAAACAGACAATTTAAAATGGGACGGAGGGAGTAGTACTTAAAATATTCGCCTATAAACACAATTTGCAAGAATATTAAGTTTATAATAGAGGAGTATGAATGTGGTTTAACTCAGAATAATTTATAGTAAGTAGAAATCTTATATGTAGCTTGCTTTTTCAAATTAATTTAAATATTCTGAAAAACATCTTTATACATTACGTACAAGTGTCCATTGACTCGTGATATTTCAAATATTTTACCTTCAATTATTTCTCTCTCTTCCCCAAAATGAAATAAATTCTTTTCCCTTTTCATAATTACTTTTTTCTTCTCATTTCTTTTTCTTCAACTCTCATTTTCCATATCATTCTCTTTTTCCTCATTCAACTTGCACCAAGCATAGCTAGTGTTAAAGAACGGGGAGAAACAAAGGACACAAAAGAGTATTGATAGAATTTATGTTTGGATTAGTTGACCACTTGCAAATGAAGTCTCATTCCCTTGATTATTATTTTTTAGCGTCAACATCTAAAGGATCACGAGCTGCTGGGTATGGATTTCCAGACGAGCAATCGTGTTAAACGGGCCAGGATAGATATGGACAACTAGATTGAGTAATAAGACATTTGGGCTGAACCACATTAAAAGATTGAATCCAATCGATTAGTTGTTCAACTCAAGAGCTTATATCCCAATTATTTTACTCTTGAACTTCCGATGTAGGATACACTCTAACAAGTATAAATATTTGATCAAAGAGGCAATAGAAACACGCCCTTTGCTTGCTAAGTTGAAGAGAAGAAATCAGTAAAAAGAACAACTAGAATGCCTTGGCAACAACGAGTCCAGACTTGACGACTATATACACTCACGTGTTGTACAGTTTAGGCTGCTGAAGCAGAGAGTAAGAAGGGGAACGACGTTACTACACTGAGTATATTTTTACACTTACTATTTGACAGCCCATCCACCCGTAAAACAGAGGCAAGTTCCAGTTATGCGTATCATAAAATCCCGTAAGTTATATTATACTCCTCCTCCTCCTCTTCCTACCCTCCTTGCGGTTCTTTACAATGGAGTCTCGCACTTGAAAACCTGAAGTGCATTTGTTCTTAGCCAATAGAGTACTTGCCGTGCACGATGCCTGTCTTGCAGTCTCCAAGAAGATGTCTTCTTGGAATTATACTTCGTGGTCATTAAGGAGATGTCTTCCAATCAAATGGGAGATTGTTGAAACCGTTATGCAGCTGGTTTCCCATGTCATTCATGATAGTACCCTGCTCTTGCGACGACATTGACATGGTGCCATTAGTGTTGTTGCCCCCCACTACTACTACTCTTCCATATGAGTTGCTGTTAGTATTTCCCAATCCACTACTTCGCCCGTTGTTTCCCGCCATATTCCTGAGCCCGATGCCCGTGCTCCCAACAAGGTAATTGCTGCTTCCATTGCTAAGGACAGGATTCTTAACATCATTATTGTTATTATTGTTGTTGTTGTTGTTATTCCCAAGTTGTGAAGAAGATGAAGGCACCACCACCATCTCATTTATGATTTTATGCATGGAGCTCTGAGATTCGTTTGCATCCATCATGTCACCACCAGAGGGCATTTGTGCGTGTGGCGAACCTGCAGAATTGATGTGCAATCCTCCTCCATGAGACGAGGTTTGTGGCGAACTACAAGAGAGTGGCGATTGGAATGCCAGGTTGTTGGTGGTATGGCGAGGCGAAGAAGACATATTCACAGGGTGGTGGTGGTGGTGGTGGGGGTGGTTTTGGTATCTTGAGTTTATGGAGTTTTGGTGGATTAGTCCAGCGATGCTGTTGCTGTTGGTGGGAGTACCGGGAGTTGAGTTCATAGGACTGTTCACATTGGAACCAGCTGGTAGCATCTGAGCATATGAAGATTCATGGTTGTTGGACTTCTGAGTCATCATACCTTGTTGCCAATCTTCAGATTGGGCATGAGAGATGGGTGAGGCATTGGCCCTCCTCGGATACTTAGCCAAGCTCTCTGGCAAAAAAACAAACAACCCGTGACAATATCACATTAATAAGTGACAGAAATAGCAATCAGATTGTATCTGGGAGCAGAAGTTATAATAGAATTAGAAAAATTTCCACCTCTGGCCTCACGACTATATATTTCTTGCCACGGTCCTCTTCAGTCACTTATCCACCGAGGCACCGAATATCGACCAGTTGAACAGAAAATTTGACGGATAAGTGGTCGGAGGGACCAAAAGTGTCAAGGAATTCACAGTCGTGCACTAAAAGTTGAAAAAAAGCTAAAATAAGAAGTGGAAATGTTTTTCATAGAGTAATAACTGGTAAAAAGAATCCCCCATTCATGTGGCCCAAACACTTCCCTTTTATGTCCATCTCAAAATAATCACTCATTTCCTTTTAGAAAACATAATGCGATTCACATTATTTTCCTTTCTTCTAAATAAAGTTAAATCACACTCATTCAATTCTTCTTAAAGTGCTCGGCCAAATGTAGCACTAATATAGGAAAGGAGTAACAAAGTCACAGCATGGTCAATGAAAGCTCATTGCGGAAAGTGTTATATGAAGTCAAATGAGCACTCCAATGCTTCACTTTGATGAAAAGCTGCATTCTCATTGAAGAATAACAAACTACACAAATAGATCTTAATAAACATCAAATAACAAAAAAAAATCCAATCTCAGTCCAACTTCCTACATTTGCATGCATGTAGAAAAGTGAAGTGTAAACAAAGCTTACCCATAGGCCCCATGTTGGTCTCTCTGCTATAGTCAATCAAATCTTTCATGCTATTCACTACTTCTGATATCTGTTTAGCACCAAATGAAGACATGATTACCATCCTTTTTTAGCAGAAACAAAATACGGAGTAACAAAGTTTATTTACAACAACAACAACAACCCAGTTAAATCCCACAAGAGTAAGGTCTGGGGAGGGTGTGTGTACGCAGACCTTGCCCCTACTCGAAAGTAGAGAGGCTGTTTCCAAAGAGACCCCCGGCTCAACGTCAAAAGTTGCATTGCTTGACTAACTGCTACTTCATTAATTAAAGAAGCACAGATAGTTTAGAGATCCATTTTGATTTATTCCATCACACCCCAAAGCCAAAAAATGGTGAAATTTTGGCTCCATCGGAGATGATGGAAATACAAATAGCATCATGACACCAAAAACATCATCAAATCTGATAGAATACTAATATCGGTTGCGTACAGTTCCAATCTCTAATTAATAAATTAAATAAACTAGGGTTAAGTTTGTGAGTGAATTATATTCAACAGAAATCTTAATAACCTACTATTTTGAATCTCACAAGAATGCTTTGGCAGAGATCTTAATATCCTACTATCTTGATTATCTCAAAAAAGCAAAAATCACAGGGAGAAGTGTCCATCAGGAATAAAACTTGAGTTAGAACATAAGCGAAAGCAATAGAACACCATGCAGTAAGAGATTGAGGGAGGCTCACTCACATAAACTTGTGTAAGATGTGACATGTGTAAGAATAAGGAGAATACCTGAAGACATCGCACATATCTCTTGGTATATCCCAAATCATTTACCAATGGAACTTCCAAGGCTTTCACCAATTGACGAGCTGAGGTAACAAAGCTGAAAGAAACCGAAAGGTATACGTAATAATAAACAATCATATATGCTGACAAAAAGTAGTACATGTAAAACAAAATAAGCAGATTGAGTCTTGTGGAAAATAAAGTTCCTTGTACTACTCAAGAACTAGATACCTTAGCGGGCGCATACGTATACAATTCCATTACCAAACGTAGATTTAGGCGTGGAATTTGTAGACATTTACACAACCTACCTTTGATTTTTCAAAAGGTTTTTTTAGCTTATGCAGAACGTATATTCACAATACAAACAATATAGTCTACGGTCTACCACTCTATCAAATGAAATAAAACATTGTCTGGCACCATGTACGCAATCACCTCAAACCACTAAAGGAAGGTGTTTAAACAAAGTTTTTGCCTCATTAATTAGATAACTAGAACTACAAGATACTGAAGCTACACAACAACAACAAATCCAGTAAAATCACTCAAAATGGGGTGTGGGGAGGGTGTGTGTATGCAGACCTTACTCCTACTTGGAAAGTAGAGAGGTTTCCAAGAGACCCTTGACTCAAAACAAGGGAAACATTGAAAAACATGTAATACAAAAGGAACAGGAATGAGAAAGGATAGTGGCACGAAAGAAGCAGGCACCCATGCAACAAGCTAGGCATAAAATCTCTCTCTCTCTCTCTCTCTCTCTCTCTCTCTATCTCTATCTCTATAGCAGCAAATGGCATTAGGCTAACAATATTGAGAATATATTCCATTCGGAGGTCACACGGAAGAGAGATATGGATTTATTTTAAGAAATATTGTATAGTAAGTAGTAACTACATGGAACTCACAGATTGCAGTTATTTTGCAACTCAGAAGCGGATATGGTAGATGATGCATTTTGGTTGGCAGTCTGGTATTTTTGAGCTGCAGCTCCAAGTTGGTTGACCTGCATTGAACACCATAAATCATATACTTTTTGCAAAGAAAAAGGAGTAACATGTCAAGGTTATACAAAACCATTTGAAATTAAAGAATAAGTTTCACACAGCAAAGAAACCCCTGTTAATAACTCCGCAAAACACCAAACCCATTACATCTACACCCAAAATAGTGGATTTGCCTTGCAAATAAGTACTATGTGAATAGATTATTCGTTTAAGTAAATATGGCCTGGAAAGAGCTTTAGAATGTGACAGATTACCTTTTAATTATTTAGACCTTGGGAACAGGACCTCTTTAACTTTTAACTTCATCAATAATCAATAGAGGCAGATACACAATTCCATTCAAGAAATTGCAAAACAAATTGACCCAAGTAGAAACATTGATATTAATTTGAAACTGAAAAGATGTAACAAGTTTCAAAAAATCCCCTTATATCCCCACAACAATTGAAGAGGGAAAATTAACTGAAAAAAACATTCAGCTAAAAGACAAGCATACACAGCTAAAAAAGTAAAAAGTAAATTTCTCAGGTTATAAATAATTAAAGATCTGAACCTGAGGTATCAACAATTTTCTAGGTATAAGCTCCTCATGACGGCGTGCACAGAACTCCCAAGAGACGATCTGTTAATAAGGGAAAAGTAAATTACTCTGTAGCTTGGACTTTCTTCTCTTTAAATGGAAGGGGGAATAAGCAACATGGAAAATCACATCAAAGACCATTCAGTATATAAATAGTTCTTGATAATTAAAAAACCCAAATCTCCACAAGTAACCTTCAGATCCGGTGAGAAGACTACTCGAAGCTGACCATCACGGACAACACGAAGTTGTTCAAACACACTCTCCTGAATAGCTTTTGCATAGTCCAGGACAATCTGCCCAGAAGAATTCTGATACTCGCAAGGCATATCAACATAAAGTAATTCCTCCAATGTGCCACTTTCATACTTTATCTTAAAAAGCCTAGGCAAGACCTCTACAGTTGCCTCTGTAACAACAGTGAGGTGCATTCAAACACTAATACCAATGCAGAAATCAGAATTCAAGGATTAATGGAATAGGTACAAAGCTCTGAAAAATGTGTTGAAGACTTGAAGCCGAGATATCCCTTTCCTTTTTATATATAATAAATGTATATTCAGAAACACAAAAACAACTACTCTATACCATAAAAAGTTTCGTTCTTTACTTTAATGACTAACTCAAAATAGACTTCATATATTTTTATTTCGGTCGTGGTAAACTTTTTAATTTAGATATACTCCCTCCGTCCGGAAATATTCTTCCCATTTTCCTTTTTGGTCCGTCCGGAAATATTCTTCCCATTTCCTTTTTTAGTATACTTTTTAAGGCTAAATATCAATAATACCCTTCTATTTTATCACAAATATACTTTTTTAGTACTTTTTTAATAATAAAAGGAGATTTAAAAGTTTATAGTATGTGCATTTTTGAAAATTTTGCATTTTTTTTACTATTCCTTAATAAGCGTGCCAAGTCAACACGGGAAAAACATTTCCGGACGGAGGGAGTAACATTTAACATTTTCTCTCTCTATCACATCAACTACTTCCTCTTTTCTTTTTCCCTCTTACCCAACCAACTACCTCAAATATTGTGTTTTATCTTTATGCTATTAATTTTTCCCAGTTTTCTGACTTTTCTCAAGTAGTGTGCCCACACAGTGTGAACTTTTTATGTGGCAGAGGGAGCAGTAAAGCACTATATGAACAAGAAAAACTGCTAAAGTATTCTCACACGTATGCTTTGAGGGATTGACAGGTTTACGCATCTATACAGAGTATATAACAAAAACCCAACATTTCAGGAAAAAGAAAACATGAATATGATAACAGATGGCTGTGCAATTATGCGAAAGTACATGTGAATGACACAATATCATACCGAACCCACGCCCAGGCTTGCGGTTGCATATTTCACAATGCCAGACATCCTGCAGTTTTCAGAAGAGCGACTGTATTTGGTTGGATATGGAATTAAGATAATTGACATACATTAATCCTAAAATATAAAATCATCATCAATCAAAAGTATGTATCCTCTTCAATATAACATGCAACATCATTAAAATAAAAAACAACATACGCAAACATTAGGTAAGGCCACTCCTTGCTGAAGTTGAACTGTAAATGAATATTTTGCGGAAACAAACCTGAGGAAAGACCCCATTTGTCTGACGGCCACTTCCATACATTGAGACACACCACTTTTTCTTAGCATTGGGAGCAAAATACTCTGCTACATATTTCCTCCAAAATTCAATATTGTTGTCCTATAAAATAACAAGTTGTTAAGCATAGAGAACCTAAATGATCAAAAAAATCCATAACAATGCAAAAAACCACTATGTATATCATATGAAAATTACTACTCCACATTCTTTTCACTTTTTTTAAACTCAAATTAACCAATAAAAAACATATATCTAAAAGTTGTACATTTGGCAAAACATGGCTCTTTTACAGAGGGGAGGGAGTATTAAACAATGCCTAAAGAATGTGAGAATGTCATAATGACAAATGATGGAAAGTACATCAATAACATTAATGGTTAATTTTGGTCTCCAATTCAGGTTATAGGAAAGTCATCAATTTTGATGACATGTTCCATATAAGCTTTATTGACTTAACAATATGATGTAAGCAAAGATATCTTCAAGGCATTGCTCTTACCTCAGGTCTGTGCTGTTGCTGATACATATAATTAGTCAATCTGCGTGCACACATCCCAGGCTCATAAAATGGTTTTGCTTGAGATCTAAAAGATATATTCGATGGTTGATATTGTGGCTGAAGTGGATTCCTTTGTTGAGGCACACCCTTCAAGAGATGTTGTTGTTGGTGCTGTTGATGGAACTGCATAAGTCTTTGTTGATGCAAAAGCTGGGCCATGGCAGCAGCTTGAGGTGACTGCCTAGACATTTGAAGTAACTGTTGTTGCTGTTGAATAAACAAAGATGGATCAGCATGTTGTGGTTCAATTT